TTCATTAAAATTTCTTGACAGTGCCTCTCCCAGTCTATCATCTGCTCTCCTTTTGCACTGTATATGTGTATATAAAATATAGAAAAATAGTAATAAACAACATTTTGTATTGTTCGTTTGTGTAAATAAGTTTTGTAAACAAAATAGTGACAACAGTGTTTGTGCAGTTATTGTGTAGTATACAAAAAGAAGTAACTTACAAAATCATGCTCATATTGGTCTCACAGGCCATAAAATTTACTTGAAAAAAAAATTAAAAAATAATAGAAAATAGTACTGAAAAAAAAAAAAAAACTAATACTGGGTGACCAGCAGTCGGCGATGTTACCGTATGCCGGTCATTTTCTGTCAACTTCACGCTTCCATATCTCGGTAAGTATTGATGGTAAAAAATTTTTGTTTAGCCTATAATATTTAGAAAAAAAAATTAAGATATCTTCTCATAATTTTTTTTTTTTTTTTAATTTTTACCAACCCCTTTCAGGGTTGGGCCTTGATAGGGTTAAATAAAATTGGATAGATCAGCATTGTGCTGCTACCATATTCAATATGATAGTTACACAGTTGAAACAAAAGCTAGATATGTGTCCCTGTTATACTCCATCATACACGATGGTTAGTGTAACATCTCCACAATAAAGATACCCAAGTGTTGCACATATGTTACATGGACAAACACCATATCCCCTTTAAAATCAGGTATAATCACAGACAACACTACAGACCACTACCCAACCTTTCTCATAACTAATCTGGGAAAACTACCACAAGACATTACTAAAGTAACCTTCAGACTACATAACGAGACAGCAGTTAACAACTTTATAGCAGCTATGAATAACATCGATTGGCAAAATGAGCTTGAAACATATACAGATATGAATGAATGTATAAATAATTTTCTAAAAAAAGCCCAATGCCTCTACAACAGACATTGCCCCAGAAAAACTAAACATCACAGCAAAGAGACTGAATAATCCCTGGCTAACACCAAGCATCCTCAAATCCATTAACACAAAGCACAAATATGAAAAACAGTATAGAATGGGTCAAATAACTAGAGAACAGTCGAGAAATTACTCGTCAGCACTCACCAGCCTAATAAGAAGGTCAAAAAATTGTATTATGAAAATAGATTACATAACATCAAAGGTGATATGAAAAAACCTGGAAAACTCTATCTGAAATTCTTGGAACTAAAAAGCTATTTAAAAACAAAGTAATCAAACTAACAAAATCAGATGAACCCCTACTCACTCCAACCGAAACAGCAAACAGACTTAATGTTTTCTTCTCCACCATAGGAAAAAATCTACCAAACAAAATACCAAGCACAAGCGCCCGTCCATCAGACTACCTCATAGGTACCTACCCAAATACACTATTCCTAGCTCCAACCAACCCCATAGAAGTTATGCTCATCATAAACACCCTTAAAAACAAGGCAGGAGACATAAACAACTTGCCAGCTTTTATGTACAAAAAAGCTTCTCAAGTATTGTCACCAATTATTGCAACGCTCTTTAACAAATCCATTGAATCATCTACCTCCCCAACAATTCTCAAAATAGTGAGGGTCACTCCGATCCATAAAGGAGGTGGCCAAGCTGACTTGAATAACTAGAGACCAATATCTAACTTACCACTGCTCTCTAAAATCTTTGAAAAATTAATTCATAGACGGATCTATTCCTACCTCGTTTCACACAACATATTAAACCCTTGTCAGTTTGGATTCATAAATAATAAAAGCACAAATGATGCTAACATACACATGCTAGAACTAATATATACCGCACTTGAAAAGCAAGAAGTCCCGCTGGGCATTTTCATTGATTTACGTAAAGCTTTCGATACAGTCAACCATGAACTACTGTACTCCAAATTAATGCACTATGGTATCAGAGGCCACTCCCTCAACTACCTAAAGTCATACCTTAGTAACAGAACTCAATATGTGTATGCAAATGATGCAAACTTCTCCACCCAACCAATCACAGTAGGAGTCCCACAAGGAAGCGTCCTTGGACCACTCCTCTTTCTCATCTACATCAATGATCTACCAAATGCATCACAGCTACTCAAACCCATATTATTTGCAGATGACACTACATATGTATTTTCCCACCCAAATGCAGTCATACTAGCAAACACAGTCAATGCTGGATTACAGAAAATATCTGCCTGGATGATGACTAACAAACTTACCTTGAACACTGATAAAACCTATTTCATTCAGTTTGGAAACAAAGCTGCAAATGATCCAATTAACATTACGCTAAATGGATCATCAATCACAAGACTCACAGAGGGAAAATTCCTAGGTATCCACCTTGACAGTAGCCTTAAGTTCCGGACACACATACAACAAATCACCAAGAAAATCTCCAAGACTGTAGGCATACTATCAAAGATAAGGTACTACGTTCCACAATCAACTCTCCTGGCGCTGTACCATTCACTCATACACCCTTATCTTACATAAGGAATTTGTGCATGTGGATCAACAACATCCAATCACCTAAACCACTAATAACCCAGCAAAAGGCAGCAGTAAGAGTGATAACAAATTCCCACTCCCGCCAGCATACTCCACCAATTTTCAAAAGTCTGAATCTGCTTACCATTAAGAACATCCATACTTATTCATGTGCCTACTACATACACAGAACAATACACACAAATATAAACCCCCCACTCAAACTTTTCCTCACCAACCTAAACAGGACACACAACCACAACACAAGACACAGATCTCTTTTTGATATACCTCGTGTCCATATCACACTGTGTAAAAACTCTATGCACATAAAGGGCCCCAAAATATGGAATTCATTACCAGAAGATATTAAAGTAACCCAGTCTGAAAATCAATTTAAAACTCTTCTCAAAAGCCACTTAATCACCCTAGACTAAATGCTAAATACTCAGTATACATTTCTTCACCTATGTACTCCCACATCATCACTGAAACAATCACATTGAATCTTTTATCCATTGTCGACAGGAATATAATTGAATCATTGTTTTTCACAAAAGTATTTTAGAATATAAATACGTATATCTTTGTATTATACAAATTTTGATTCATTTATAATTAATATTCTACTGTACAACTACAAAATAATTACTTTCCTACTGTACAACTATGATATACTATTTTTTAGTATTAAGTAGAATTTTTTTTTTTTTTCAACAAGTCGGCCGTCTCCCACCGAGGCAGGGTGACCCAAAAAAGAAAGAAAATCCCCAAAAAGAAAATACTTTCATCATCATTCATCACTTTCACCACACTCACACATTATCACTGTTTTTGCAGAGGTGCTCAGAACACAACAGTTTAGAAGCATATACGTATAAAGATACACAACATATCCCTCCAAACTGCCAATATCCCTCTGACTAATGCTTTTATTAACTCCACACCTTCTCCTAATTTCCACACTCCGAAGTTTCTGCATAATATTTACACCACACATTGCCCTTAGACAGGACATCTCCACTGCCTCCAACCGCCTCATCGCTGGTGCATTTACCACCCAAGCTTCACATCCATATAAGAGTGTTGGTACTACTATACTTTCATACATTCCCTTCTTTGCCTCCATAGATAACGTTTTTTGACTCCACATATACCTCAACGCACCACTCACCATTTTTCCCTTATCAATTCTATGATTAACCTCATCATTCATAAATCCATCCGCCGACACATCAACTCCCAAGTATCTGAAAACATTCACTTCTTCCATACTCCTCCTCCCCAATTTGATATCCAATTTTTCTTTATCTAAATCATTTGATACCCTCATCACCTTACTCTTTTCTATGTTCACTTTCAACTTTCTACCTTTACACACATTCTCAAACTCATCCACTAACCTTTGCAATTTTTCTGTAGAATCTCCCATAAGCACAGTATCATCAGCAAAAAGTAACTGTGTCAATTCCCATTTTGAATTTGATTCCCCATAATTTAACCCCACTCCTCTCCCGAACACCCTAGCATTTACTTCTTTTACAACCCCATCTACAAATATATTAAACAACCATGGTGACATTACACATCCCTGTCTAAGACCTACTTTTACCGGAAAGTATTCTCCCTCTCTTCTACACACCCTAACCTGAGCCTCACTATCCTCATAAAAACTCTTAACAGCATTTAGTAACTTACCAGCTATTCCATATACTTGCAACATCTGCCACATTGCTCCTCGATCCACTCTATCATATGCCTTTTCTAAATCCATAAATGAAATAAAAACTTCCCTACCTTCATCTAAATACTGTTCACATATATGCTTTAATGTAAACACTTGATCTACACATCCCATTATGCCAAGGCATAATAGAGGCTCTCTTTGCACTGCATCCCACTATTGTATATACACAATCTCAATGTACTGTTTGCAAAGACATTAAATAAATAAATAAATTCACCTACTTGATGGTTTTGTAAAGTATTACTAAAATAATACCAAGCCAATTTCTCTACATGCACAACTCAAGTCAAGGTAAAGTTAAGCTACTTTATTTAGTTTAGGTCAGTATAGGTTAGGTTAATTTAGTTTTTTGCTTATATTTAGTTTAATTTTAGGATAAGTTTGCATGGAGTAGGTTAGGTTAGGATAGATTAGATTAGGTTAGAGTATGCTAGGTTAAGCTAAGTTAGGTTAGGTTACACTAGGCTAGGCTAGGTTTGGTTACATTAGGTTAGTGTAGGTTAGTTCATGTTAATGTCTATCAACCAAATTTAACTAATTATATCAATAATAACTATTATATGCAATAATATATATACGAGTCCTTGTTTACATGCATACATAGAAAACAGAAAATCATCAAAAAATGATTGAGGAAGCATAACAGTAAAAGCTTAACATTTATCAACTAGTCTGAGTCAAAGTAAATAACCAACATATTTGGAGGATGGGTTAAAAATATGCATAAAAAAATATAAATAATGTAATACTACAATTAATAATGTTCAAGCTTACTTGTCCTATATTGCCCCAGATCTTGGCTTGAATAGAAGGATACATTTCAACTTCCTCAATAGTTAGTGTGATCAGTTTATCAAGAATCATGGCAACCTTGGCTCGCTTTTTGTCATCTGGATGGCTGCAAAATCTAGAAAGAAAAAGTGTGTGTGATTTTTGTAAGCAATGCCCCCACTTAACTCTACCTTAAATACAAAATTAATCGTACACACAGACACTCATTTTTTCTTTGGGAAAGAAGTATAAAATGCATAGGTCAATATAGCAAATCCAAAACTTATCATACACATACACGGACACACACAGACACACACACAGACACACACACACACACACACACACGGATACACACACAGACACACACACAGACACACACACATGGACACACACGGACACACACACTCGACACACACATACATGGACACACACACACGGGCACACACATACGGACACACACACACACGGACACACACACACACACACATGGACACACACACGGGCACACACACACGGACACACACACAAGGACACACACACACACGGACACACACACACACGGGCACACATACACACGGACACACACAGACACAAACATGGACACACACACGGACACACACACAGACACACACACGGACACACACACGGACATGGACACACAAACACACACACACACACACACACACGGACACACACACAAGGACACACACACACAGTAGCGATCAGTGAAGAGGCAGGAGCTTGGACTCGACCCCCGCAACCTCAACTAGGTGAGTACACACACACGGACACACAGACACACACACACAGACACAAACATGGACACACACATGGACACACACACAGACACACACACGGACACACACACAGACACACACACAGATACACACATGGACACACACAGACACACACACACGGACACACACACACGGACACACACACACACGGGCACACACACACACGCAGACACGCACAGACACAAACATGGACACACACACTGACACACACACACAGACACACACACAGACACACGCATGGACATGGACACACACACACATACACACATGTATGTTTCTCCTTTAGAATGAGGGCATAAAATACATAGGAAAGTATGACAAATACAAAAACTTGAATAAATAAACATCAGAAAAAAAGGGTAAACTGATGCTATATAAGGAGCCCTTCATGCTGGTCTTTAATAAAGGCAGATAAAAATAAGGTAAAATATGCAGGGAAGACTCCTACCTTGTTAAATTGGGTAGCCAAGGAGTCATATACTCCAGACACAAATGCTTGAGCTCTATACTTGAGGCCCGGAAGCCCTGTATACACTCTTCCAGGAACTCAAGTGTTAGGTGAGGTTCATTTACTGCAAGTTTTTCACTAACACTCTTGATGAAAATGGTATTGTTGGATGGGATACATAGACCTGAAGGAATTGAAGCCATCATTTAATTTCTGTACTACACCTCTTGCTAAGTAACTGATGGGTACCACACTAGAGCTCTTCACAAGTTGAGCAGCATGGTGACACATTTATTGCTTCAAATTCAAACAAATTGCTGTGTCATATGAAAAAGCTTGTAAATTGAAATATATGGCTATCCTGCATACATAGGGATGCAAGTTTTGGAATTTAATACAGCAATGGCAGTAAAACAACTTGCTGGAGTCTATGCAAATACGGAGTTTAGATCATATAAATTTAAGTCCAGAAGGAATTAGACCATATAAGCTGCAGTACTGGAAATAAGTGAAATAAAAAAAACAAAGATCTTTATTGAAATAAACATCAAACAAAACCTTACTGATATCTGTAATTCTGAAGTTTACAAACTGACATATAAACAAGTTAGGAGTACCTCAATATAAATACATTAAACATGAAGGCCAAATGACAATTCAGAATTTTTTACAAAAGTATAAATTGTGGGCTGTATTAATTGTTGTGAAAATATCAAGTGGATGCCTAATGTGTTTAAAAAGACCATAGGAATAATACAAATACACACACACACACACACACACACACACACACACACACACACACACACACACACACACACAGTGGCCACTTTATAAGGTACACCTGCTCATTAATGCAAATATCTAATTAGCCTATTAAGTGGCAGCACTTCAATGCCTAAAAGCATGCAGACATGGTCAAGCGCTTTAGTTGTTGTTCAAACCAAACATCAGAATGGGAAAGAAATGTGATCTAAGTGACTTTGACCATGGAATGATTGTTGATGCCAGACAGGGTGGTTAGAATATCTCAGAAACTGGTAATCTCCTGGGATTTTGATGCACATCAGTGTCTAGAGTTTACAGAGAATTGTGTGAAAAACATAAAGCATTCAGTGAATGACAGTTCTGTAGGTAAAAATACCTCATTAATGAGATAGGTCCGAGGAAAATGGCCACACTGGTTCCAGCTGACAGGGAGGCAGCAGTAACTCAAATAACTACATGTTACACCAGTGACATGCAGAAGAGCATCTCTGAGAGACAACACGTCAAACCTCAAAGTGGATGACCTAAAGCAGTAGAAAACAATACTAAGTTCCACTAATGTCAGTTAAAAACAGGAAACTGAGACTACAGTGGGCTCAGGCTCACTAAAGTTGGATAGATGAAGACTGGAAAAACTGCCTGGTTTCATGAATCATGATTTCTGCTGCAACATGCAGATGGTAGAGTTAGAATTTGGTGTAAAACATTTGGATGTAGTGGAACAGAGAGATTTGCAGCGTGAGTGTGTAGCTGACAAATCTGTAGCAACTGCTTGATGCTATCGTGTCAGCATGCACCAGAACCTCTAGGGTTATATTTCAAGCACCTTTCTGAATCCATGCCAAAAATTCAGGCTGTTCTGAGGGCAAAGGGACCCCCTACTCAGTATTATAAAGATGTACCTAAAAAGTGACCCCTGAGTGTACATTAAATATTATAACACATTCTTTGCCTATATCTTGTGCTGTTTTCTCAGGAAACTACAACTCCGAGGAGCATTATCCCCATTCATTAAATCACCCAAGAATTACCAGTCTTATTCTCTTTGAGAAGTGTATTTTTGAAGGTATTACTAATGACTTCAAAAATGCACAACACCAAAACAATGCCAAGACACCACAAACACCAAAACAATGAGGCTTTGAACACCATAAACAAACCAAAACAATGATGTGAAGGCACCATAAATACATCAAAATAACAATGAGCAAACACCACAACCATCAAAACAATGATGACTGAACAACCCCCACACCCACAAGCATGCGCACACATGCACACACACACACACACACGAAACATGTTAGACACGCAACCAGAGAGAGAGAAGAGGATGAACCAGCAAGGTTGGGCCTTATATTCACCTTGAGCAGTTCAGACATAGGGGATATTACATATGAAAGGCCCCTCAGCACTAGTGATCATGTGGTCCTGAGTTTTGAATACACTGTAGAGCTAACAGTGGAGAATGAAGCAGCATTTGGATGAGGGAAGAAGCCAAACTTCAAAAGAGAGGGCTACACAGGCACGAGCTAATTCCTGCATGAGGTGAAGTTGGGAAGAGAAGTAGAGGGACAGACAGTAAATGAATTGATGGAAGACATGGCTATAAAGTGCAGGTTGGTAGAAGTTTGTACCCAAGGGCAACAGAAGCAATGGGAAGGCCAGAATGAGCCTATGGCTCACCCAAAGGTACAGAGAGGTCAAAGCCAAGTGTACTAGAGCATGGAAAAAGTACAAAAGGCAAAGAACCCAGATAAATAAGGAGCTGAGCTGAAGAGCCATAAACAAATATACACAGATAAGAAGAAGAAGGCAACATTAGAATAACATAACATCGAAAGCCAAATCTGACTTAAAGTTGTTTTATAGCCACATCAGGAGGAAAACAACAATCGAGGACCAGGCAATCAGGCTGAAGACAAAAGGAGGATAGCTCACAAGTAATGACCAGGAAGAATGTGAGGAGCTCAGCATTAGATTTAGGGAGGTATTCTTAGTGAAAGTGAAAAGGCTTTGAGCAAACCGAGGCAGAATGGTGCAACAACATGTGCTGGACACACTACACACAACTAAAGAGGAAATGAAGAAACTGTTATATGAACTAGATATCTCGAAGGCAGTGGGCCCAGATAACATCTCTCCATGGGTCCTGAGAAAGGTAGTAGTAGTAGTGTGTGTGTGTGTGTGCTGCTAACAACAATCTTCAACAAATCTATGAAAAGAGGGCAACTACTTGAGGTGTAAAAGACAGTAAACGTAGTCCCAATTTTTAAGAAAGGAGACAAATAGCCAGCATTAAACTACAGAGCAGTGTCGCTGACATGCATATTATGTAAAATCATGGAGAAGATTATCCTAAGAGTGATGGAGCACCTAGAAAGGAATGGGATCATACATGACAACCAGCATGGTTTCAGGGATGGGAAATCCTATATCACAAACCTACTGGAGTTCTATGACAAGATAACAGAAGACAGAGGAGAGAGAGGGGTGGGTAGACTGCACTTTCTTGGACTGTCAAAAGGTTTATGATGCAGTACTGTGCAAGACATTGGTACAAAAGCTAGAGGAGTAAGCAGTAAAAGCAGAGCAAGGACAGGAAGGAAATGAGTGATGGTATGTGCGAGGTGTCAAGAGTGGGCGCATGTGTCAAGTGTGGGTTCATCGGACAAAACATATGGAAATACTAGGTCAAAGCACTAGACCAACACGTGTGTCACAATACTGATGATTAAATACCCTCTCGACTGAGGCATGGTAATTAGTTTCTAACTTAGCTTTCTGTTACTGACAAGAAGGAATGGGCTCAGAAGAGATGTGTGGGTGTCCTCAAATTCCAGGACAACCAGCTAAGCACAGGTATACTGAGTATATGAATTAGGAATGTAAAACCCTGTATATGCAGCTGTGCTTCAAGAAGTTCCATACACTGCAACAGTTCTAATACCATTACCAGTGCCAATATATACGAGTACATATGTTAGATCAGAAGAAAACTGAGCGTATGGATGATTGTGTGTGTATATATGTTGCATCCTCTCTATTTTATTATGCACCTCAAACAGGACTACTTACACTGTACCTCGCATATGTTATTTGTTCCAGGGATCTACTATAACAAATAACCTCAAGTCAATAATAACTCAACAAAAAGCAGTTGTACAAATCATTACTCAGTGCAGTGCCAGGTAACACACTCCCCCACTATTAAAAAATTTAAACTTTATCAGTATACATAATATTCACTCACTTGAAAGCTGTAACAGAACTCATAAGCATAATACAAGACACAAAAATCTCTGATATCCCCCATGTCCAGCTCAACTTGATAAAAACTCATATGCAAATAAAAGGCCCTAAAATTGTGAACCCTCTGCCTGAAGATGCCAAAGGTTCCGTATCTGCCAACTACTTCAAAGCTCCTGTTAAAAAGCACCCTCTTACCTTAATGTGACCTTGGCAGCAACGTACTGTCAAACAAATCCTGAAACCTTCTGTTATCCAATTAACTCCTTGTTCTTATTCCAGCTTTCTTTCACTTCCTGTATATTACTAGATAGGGATATACTATCTCACTGTATTATGTATTAATTCAAGTAAGTGGTTTCACTCACCCTGCTAAACTTGACAATTTTTTTTTTTAACACACCAGCTGTCTCCCACCGAGGCAGGGTGACCCAAAAATGAAACACTTCCACCATTATTCAACACTTTTACCATCATTCACACATAATCACTGCCTTTGCAATGAGCGCTCAGATATGGCAGTTCAGATGTCACTCCAAACAGCATCCCAAATCCCTTCTTCCCTTCTTTAAAGAACAGGTAGTCTACTTTCCACCTCCAGGACTCAAGTCCGGCTAACCAGTGTCACTGAATCCCTTCACAAATTACTTTACTCATACTCAACAACCTGCAAGTCCCAAAAACCATTCATCTCCATATACTCCTATCTAACAAGCTCACACATGTCTGCTGTATGTCCCCCTCCTTCCATTCTTTTTTATGTTGACTCCTACCCCTCCTCCCCTAATATTAGTGTCAGAACAAAGATTGGCTATGAAATCACAAGAACTACTATAAATTATAATTATCAAAATATAAAATTTACATAAAATAAAAACGAGAAAAAAAGGTATATCGGCAACACTTCTGCAAGCGGCAGGACTCGATGTTGCCATCAGGTGAGCATCCAGCACCAACTTCGAGGGCTTATAACTCGGTAACTACTGATCCTAAAAAAAAATTTTTTATCTTATAACAAGTAGAATAACGCCATCTCAGTGACACACTCGTTTACCAATGCCTCAGACTTACAAAGGGCTCTCTGACAAGTATTCACACCTAAATAATGTATATTAGAGCTGATTTCCTCTATTCTGTTTATTTCAAAATACAGTACACTACTGTACA